GAGGCTGAGCCGAGATGGATAAGCCATCAGCCTTCACGTGTAACATCTCAGCTTTGCTGTTGAACCATCCCCCGGACTTCACTGCTAGTGGCGCTAACTGCACAGGCTGTTTTCTTCCTCAACACGCTTTCCAGGCCCTGAGGGCATCACTGGGTCTGACGCATCTTTTAGGCTGGAGGGCCCAGCGCACCTGGCACTGAGTGGGTGCTCAACTGACGTGTGAACAAATATTTACTGAGCTGCGTGGAGGTAAGTGGCCTGTCCCCTGACACTTCAACGGCTGAGGACACCACTCTGTCCACACCACCAAGAGAAATATCACTTCAGGATGTCGCTGACGCCAAATAACTCGGGAAACAAAGCAAGTCCTAATCACCTAAAATCTTGTTCCAGAATGCCAGACAGAATGAGGCAATTTCATTAATTTAAAATGTTGTTACATCGAATTTGATGTTGTTACTGAGAAGCATGACATAAGCAAAACTGGGTGTTAAATTCATAAGCACAAAATTGATAGAGGAAGGAGAAGGTTCTTGCGTTCCACTCAAGATTTAAATTAAATGATAAGAGACACTCCTGAAGAAACACTGGTGCTGACTGGATCTGGGCGTTCACAGTAACAGGAGCTATACTGAGAAGTGTCACGGACATTGCCCATGAAGACGCTGATTGTGAACGTTACAGATGTAAAGCAACACAGCCAGCTCGCTGGCCTCGGCCACACAGTCCGTCAGCCTGCTGGTCAGGAAGAGCGAGGGACCCCCCGGTCGCAGGCGTGCCTCAGTGCTCACACCTGGGTTAGGAAATTCCAAGTGTGAAACGGCTCCCTTGCCAACAGCTAAGAAAGAAGCAACCACTCACCCTAGGAAAGAGTGCGGCCCCAAGGACCTTTAATCAGCGCTCAGCCTCCAGGACCCACATACGGAAACATCACGTGCACAAAACCTCTGCACCCTCGGCACACACCGTCCTCTCCTGGAACCACAAAGCCACGCGGCGAAGACCAGAGTGAGCTCGCTCTGGCAGGGACGTGTGTGGCAGCCTGGAAGATGCACTGAAGAAAACGTGTCTGCATTTGGGTAGACTGCTCCCCTATTTGGATCTCAAATTAAGATGAGGAACTAGAAGAACAGAAATGTAGGACTAGGGAACTTAGGGCAGACGATGAAAAGCATGAACAAAGGAGGAACTCTGAGAAGGCTCAAAGAGAGCCTACAGGCCTTGTGAAGGGAAATGTTTGATCTGTCAAAGCAGAATGACAGAGCAGATGAGAAGGACGCAGATAAGGAAAAGCTAAGAGCTCTCGTGGGACAGATACACATCACTGGGCATTTGGGGACTGCCAAATGACCTGGAGACATAAAATGCTGCAAACACACGAGAAAAAGAACAACCAGAGAACAGAAACGCAGGAAGAAAATGTTTCCTGGTACAGCTGTGAGGACGCAGTGGGCCCACCGAGGAGGGGAGAGGCTTGGTTGGCCAATCTGTGCAGACAGTGCCGGTCACACAAGTCAGAAACAATACCTTCGTCCTTCAATAAGAAGAAAAAGAAAGCTAAGAACCAGGCAGATAAACGAACAAAAGAATGAACGTGTCTGAAGGGCCCAGGAAGCCAGGAGCAGAGTCTGTGGGGGCTGAGAGCGTTGCCCGTGCCGGACAGGAAACCCAGCCGTCCTCCCAGCTCCGAAGTACCAACGGACCAAGAGGGGGACAGACAGACAGAAATGGGTCCGTGTTGCAGGGGCTGGTGGCTGGACAATGATAAAGGGCCCAGGGTTTCTTTACGGGACAGTGAAATGTTGTAGAATCGATTGGGGTGATGGCTGCACGGCTCTAGGAACGTCCAAAAAAAAAAAAATCACTAAACTGCACACTTGAACTGGGTGAATTGTATGGTGTATGAATTCTATCTCAATAAAGCTGTGACCAAAAAAAGGAGTGAATTGTCATCTGGTTTTGAAAAGCAGCCAAGAAATGAAAATTATAGTTAAATATCTAGAAGAAAATTACTACTTTGGAAAACGCTGATAAAGGAAGTGGTCAGACATCTGCGTCTGTGGCCACGTCCATTCCCTTCCCCACTTGCACGCGCTCAGTAAACACCTGCTAACTCACACACAGGTGCCAGGCCCTGTGCTGGGGACCAGGAAGCAAAGGTGGCCTGCCCGCTGAGGCCTGACGTGAGACAGGCGCTACACGGCATGCACAGGCACAACCAGGGTGTGGATCTAGTGTTGTCAGAAAAAGCAATAGTCCCCCGGGAACGACAAATATCTTTGGCCATCCTGTTCCCAGGTTGCCCTGTCCTTGTGACCAGGACTGGGATCCCAGGACACGAGGCTGCCGGAAGGTCCTCACTGATGCCACCTAACTGGGATTTCAGCAACAATCAGAAATGCAGAGTGAGACATCCAGACGTCCAAAAACAAAGCAATAAAAATAATAAAGGGGAAGGAAACGCACGAGAGGGGCAATAAGGGGCTGATGCGAAATGCACAGGCGCTGAGAGTGGTGTGAAAGGAAGTGCGTGCAGGGCCCATGTGTCCCCGAGACACTGGACGTGCATGTGTGGTTATGGGGGAGAGCACACTGGCTTATAGGAAAAAGGCCGCCGAGGGACCCATTTTATCAGCGTCCTCTGCAGGTGCCCGGCAGAGCCCTCAGGTGGAAGGCGGGACTGCGTGACCTCTCCAAGGGCCCCCGGTCCCACGTCAAAGCTCCCGGGCTTGCAGACGTGTTCAGTATTTCGCTTCAACGTTCCTGAAACATTCTACATCTTTGCAAATGCCTGAAATAATCATGATAACTGGTGTGTTTACAATGGGCCACGTGTGTCCTGGTATTAACTCATTTAATTAGGAAAACAAACAGTGAAGTAGGTTCTACTATTATTCCTATTTTATAGACGTGAAAACAGGCACAGAGAAGTCAGGGACTGGGTCAAGGACACACAGCCCCTAAGCGATGGCCCAGCAGTGATGTCGCCGCCAGGCCTCTGGCTCATGCTGCGCCGCTCCAGGAAGAGAGGGGGTACTGTTAGTCCGGTACTACAAAAAGTCATCGAACAGACCACACTTGCCCTTTTTGTTTGGTGGACTTGCCCGTTGAGATGCCTGGCTGGTTATATTCGATTTCAGAAAGGCCTTCAACTGTCTCCATTGACACCGCCACCACCCAAAACTGAAAAATGTGTGCTGTTAGAACCTTCTAGATGAGGACAGAGATCGGGTCCAAGGCAAGCTGATGGTCAGCAGCAAAGCAGAGAGCCCCGCCTGCCCTCCAGGCCGCCCTTTGAGAACATTGTATCGATGACCTGGGCTTAAGCTGTTGCAATTAGACTAACCGAACAGGTTAGCAAAAACTAACAAAGTTGAATTGACTAGGACCAAATTGTAATGTACTGCACCTAGATTTTAAAGAGCCAAGTAACTGAAATTTATGGATCAGGAAAACTAAAACACAACTGCACAGATAGAGACTGAAGAGATCTAGAGGTTTTTGTTGACGAAAAAGCCAGAGTTGACTGAAAATGTGATGTGCTGACAGAATAGGCTGGCAAGCACTTTGGCTGGATAAACAAGGGTATAGTGTCTGGAAAAGGGAGGTGATGGGCTTGTTCCACTCTGCATGGCCGCAGCGACCCAGGTTCTTGATACAAGGTGCAGGGCCTGCAAGAGGCAGCCAGGGTGGACTTGGGTCTGGAAATTTCCTCCCGGGGAGAACAGTAAGGGACTGGGGAATAATACTGAGTGGGGAAATCATGCACGCTCACCTAGGTAAATAAAATTAGCAGCAGCAGGCACTCAGCCTGCGGGCACTGTCCAGAGCTGTCCACGGGTTACCTTTTGCGCATTTACATTTCAGCCAGTGTTTCTCAGGGTCGGAGGGCTTCCGTGTTCAGGAGAATGTCGCCCAGTTGGCCAGACAGCTACAAACACCCATTCAGAGGGCGGCACGTGCTGGGAAGGGCAGACTCTGCTCTGTCTGAGGAAGGCTCGCTAACAGGCGCCAGAAGCACTTCCCGAGGGAGGCGAGGTGGCCTCCCAGGGCGGAGGTGGCCAGGCCCCTCTGGCTCTAATCCAATCAGAGTGTCTATGGAGGAAAAGCCTTGTTTCCGGGGCCTGGGTTTCAGCTCCAGCTGCAGAATACTCACTTCCTTCTTGGAAACGAAGTGAAGTCCCTCGCCAGGGCGAGCCTTGCCATCCGAGCCCCCGGCATCGCTGGCCCCGCACAGCAGGAGATGCTGGTGGCCGGCGAGTGTCTCCAGACCCCAAGGGGCCTCCCCACGTGGAGGGGGCCTTCCCTGCCCTTCACCCCGAGGGCTGCTTTGGTGCAGTAGGGGGCTCTGTGCGTCCACGCCGCTGTGTGTGCGGGTGCGCCCGTGTGCGCCCCCCCCCCGTGCGCCCCGAGAGTTCGCTCCCAGGGGACACGGCCCCGGGCTCCGGGCAGCCGCGCCGGGGTCGGCTCGCCCTCGGGACCCGCGGCTGGCACAAGGGGGCGCCGCGCCACCGCCACGGGGCGGGTTCGCGGGGCTCGGCCGG